TTTTTGGTGAAAAACGGGGCGAAGCGCCCTAAGCCCTTTATTTATCAACAAAACAAAAACCTAGATAAAAATATCCACCTAGTTCTTTCAGATAATATCACCACACCACTAGGAGTTGATAAAGTATATTTCTTGAGTTTAAAATAAGGCAGAATACGAGTGTAGTGGCGTTTTTTTTCAAAAATTAAGGGAAAAAATCGAGTACAGTGGATGATAAAAAAGAACTTTATTTTGGGCCAAGGATACAAGGGCCCTTTGGTTTCAAACAGATAATATGCAATCAGGTCTGCCAAACAACAAATCTATTATCCAATGGATGGACAATCAAATTCATCTATGTCCCTTTGTGTTCTGAAAAAATGTCCATATACTTTTGTGGTATGCTGGTATTGAGATGGGATGCTTCTTTGCAATCTCGGCCCAGTGATGCTTTGGGTATAAAAAGAAAAACCAAGGATTCTACGTGAAAGCTGAAATGGATGACTAATTGATGCCACAATAGATAAGATAGATTGATGATTCAGCTTAAAACAAAAAACGATTGGTTATTGTTTAGGTTGTTTGACTGTTTCTCTCTGTTTTTAGGCTTCTGCTATGGGGGTGTAGATTTTTTTTTTTTTTGCAGTGATTAATAATTGACTGTGTTTTTTGGCCCAAAAAAACAGTTTTAACAGCTCATTCTATCCATTTAGGGTTGTCAAATCGTCGTGTTAAATAAGTTTTTTTTTGGGGGGGCGGGGGTTACTGAACTCCATTTTATTTTATATTAAGGAAAATCACATTAAAAAAAAGTTGAAATTATAATATTCCAATTTATGCACCTAAGAAGTTAAAATCCCAATGAAGAAAGTGATTTCTGATATGGTATTTTGTAAATCTAGTTAAATGACAAAAACATCCTTGTATCAGAAAGTTTATTAACAAGTTGTGAATTAGTAATGACAAGTGTTAAATAACAAGTGACAGTAAATATGCTGACAATGACAAACTATTTATTAATAAATTGTGAATTGGTAATAACAAATATTAAATAACTAATGACAAGAAGTTTAATACAAATCCGATACAATGACATTTTAATCATTTGATTACATTTGCAAAATACACTACTTTTTTCCGTGGGATTTTTATCTCTTAGGTGCTTAAATTGAAATATTATAATTTTTAATTTCTTTTTATATCATTTTCCCTTATATTAATCACGAGACATCCCTTTCTATTTTAAAAGCTTATATAAACAGCCTATGAAATCAAATTTCATCGCACTCAAATTTATATATATATTTTTTATATTTTTCATCCGTCCAAACCGAGAATTAATATTAAAGTTTGATTTTTTGGTTAAAAAAAGTAGTAAAGTTTGATGACAAAACATTTTTTACATCAAAATGCCTCACTCGGGCGTGACTAAATTTTAAGGATCATGCAAACCTAAATATTTTAACACACATATTGGAATTTTTTTCACATAGGGCTGTTTGGGTGTCTCCCCAAACCATAGTTTGGGGAAAGAGAGAGCCAAACAGGTTGAAAAAATCCCAAACCATGTTTTGGAGCCCAAACCATGGTTTTGGGAAAAGCATTCTGGTTTGGCTTCTGGCTCTTTGGCTCAAATTTTATAGTTGTTGGTATGAGGCCCAAGGGTATATGACAAATCAGCCCTCAATTATTCATTCCGCCTTCGGTCCTTCGCTCTTCAAGTGACGCTGTCGGAAGCAACGATGAAGGCGAGAAGGTTGTTGTTGCCGCCGGTGAGGCCGGGGATCAGTGCCATGATCAAGACTTTGCCCTGCGAGTAGCTGGGGTCTTCCTTCTGGGCCATGACTTTCACTGGCATGGGACTCGGTATTTTTCTGGCAAAGGTTTGGTCGCTCTCCACAACCCTCCACCAGGAGTTGACATTGAGCTGGGGCGCGCTTTTTGCGTTGATGGACTTGAGGAAGGCCAGGATCTTGTTCTTCTGCACCGTAGTGACGTTGCCATACCACAAAATGGCGATGTTGATGTTGCTGGTGAGGATATCGCCGTCATTGTAAGCGAGGGGAGGGACGTGCCTTTCGACGGCAATGGAGGTGGCTTTGGCGGTGGGGAGGAGGAGGGCGAGAGCGAGAAGGATGGTGAGGGAAGCAGGCGTCATTTTTGGTCATAAAAATTTATGCCAACGTTTCTGTCAATGCGGGGTAATGCAATTTGGGGGCATCACGAACGCCTCATCAGGTTCAGGCGTGGGGCTCAATATTGAAAACCATGCGACCTATTTTACGGTGAACTATTCCTGGACTTTTGGTGTTTTGACATCGGGAAGACTACTATAATTACAAAGCGAATTAATAATTAGTCAAAATCTTCTTCTATATTATTAATTATGTTAGTAAAAAATATTTTATTAACAACTTTATTTTTTCAAATCAAAATATATTATAAAATCTATCCCTTATATAATTATCATATTAACTTATACTCTTTTTAGTAATTTGCACATGTAAAAAGTGCTTCTAGTAATAACTATCCAAACACTCTCACTTCTCAGAATCATTTTTTCACAAAATCTATTTCCCCAGAATCTATTTTCCAAACCATGGTTTGTTTCATCCAAAACCCCTTAAACTATGTAAAGTTACGTGGGAACAACCGTGGTATGAACCCCTGTTTATTCTGAGTTTTTAATTGCCTTTTAGGTTTTTTTAATAATACTTTCTTACATCGATTATGTCAATTTTTTTGATTATATATGATTATATCTTTTTTTTAAAATATTAATATTAATATTAAATAAATTTTAGTTATAAATTTACACAAAATAAAAAAATATATGATTAGGTGTGATTGAAGAATTTAAAATAATAAATATAAAAAATTTGATATTATTTTGTTATAGAAAAAGTGGTGAGATATCTCCAGGTCCTTCTGTCACGGCGGCTTCTTATTTATTTATTTTAAGACGCAGCTGCTTTATATAGACATGTCAGACGGAAAATATGACGTGTTGTGTTACGGAACAAAAGCCCTAGCCACCCGGCACACGCTATGGAGTCAGGGACCATGGTGACTTGTATAGATAATTACTAATGTAATTGAATTTCAAAGTTCATCCCCTGTTTCGGCTTGCTTTGGCTTTGTCCCTGGGATTAAATTGCTAAATATGGCTTGTATTAGGATTAATATAAATGGTGAAAAAAATATTAGGATTAATATAATCTTTAATCAATCAGATTTTGATTCTTTAAGTTTCAAATTATAAATTTTGATACCTCAGAAGATAAAATAGTCTAAGTTCTTATTATATTACAGGAACTTATATTTTAAATGGAAAAACCTATAATTTAAAATTTGAGAGAACAAAAATCAAAATTAGGATAAATTTAAAAGACTAAAAATTGTATTAACTTTTTATATTAATATAATTTTTAACTCTTTACTGGCTACTAATTTCTTTTAATAAATCGATAAGGTATTTGTTATTAAAATAAAATAGATGTATCTGTCTATTATTTTATGCAAAATTATGAGCCCGGGATCACGTGGCGCAATGAAATAACAATCTAAATCCGCTTCATAGATCAAACGGATGATCACGTGTCTGGGAGCGATCTTTGTCTGCCTGGTAGAGAGGGATCTGACAGCGGACATTATAAATAGGTTCTAACCGGCAAATTCGCGCGTTCCAGACTCTAGTTCTAGCGCGAAACACGGGAAGCATCAGCGCGCGTACTGCACAAGCGTGTTTGGATGGGGACGACGATGAGACACGAATGGGCCCTCATCGTCGCGTCATCTTTGTTGCTCTTCATGTCATTCCCGACGGTCTCTTTTGGAATTACGCCGCCTCGTTCGCTGCTTCACCGCTTCTCCGGCTCCGGCGGGTATCTGACCACTGAGGAGCTATGGTTCAATCAGACTCTCGACCACTTCTCACCCTATGTAATTTTCCTTTCCCTCATCTCTTCTCATGGAAAATTTTGATTATTTTCTGCGGGATTATCTGCCGACAGTTGTTCACATTTCCTGTGCGCGTTCACTTAAGTGAATGAATGCCTACCCAGATTCGATTGTCAGATTAATGTCAAATGCTTCATTAAATGAATATTTAAATCCCTGAGGGTCGTTGATGCTATTTATTGTGGTTGATGAGGATTGATTTTAGAAAGTTAAGGCTTTTCAATGAAGACGAAGGGTTAGGTTATAGTTAGTGAATTTATTATAATATTTCATTGCGCAAGGCGACAGTTAGATTTTAGATGTTTAATCCTATGCAAGCTTTACTGTGTACCGAACGTTGATTGTTCTTCTGATTGGGTTCGACGGAGGGTTGAGACATTGTGAAGTTGTCACGCCCTTTTTGTTATGTAGTTAATCGTTGTTGTTTGAAGCATCAAAACTTCCCGATGCCATACACCATTTGTTTGCGCCTACCAAAAGATTTAACATTTTGCACTAATTTGGGGGAAGAAAAGGCAAAGGTTTTAGACTTTGATTGCCTTTCTCTCGCGCCTTTAAACAATAACAAAGAAAAGATCCTATTTTGACTTATTTATCACGTTTACTCATCAAATATGGATACAGTTTTTTATGCTTATTTGCATATGGCGTGCAGGACCACCGTCAATTTCAGCAACGGTACTATGAGTTCCTTGACCACTTCCGAATTCCCGATGGACCCATTTTTATGGTCATCTGTGGTGAATACACGTGCAACGGGATAGCAAATGATTATATAAGTGTAAGCTGCATTTCTGTGTCCAAATTTGTATTGGCACCCTTTAGTGGTTTTTGTTGGTTAATATATCAGCATTCTAAGTAATATGTAGTTGATGTGAGATCATAATTGTAGTTTGGTATGAATATCACATACTTTAGCTGCCAATGAGACATACTTGCCCCTGGAAAAAAAAGATGTTGTGTCTTTAGCAAAGGGGCAATAATCTAATTCTCATGTCCTATATGCTTATTGTAGGTTCTAGCACAGAAGTTTGGAGCAGCTGTGGTTTCTCTTGAGCATCGCTATTATGGAAAGAGTTCTCCATTTAAATCCCTATCAACTGAAAATTTGAGATATCTTTCATCAAAACAAGCACTCTTTGATTTGGCTATTTTCCGCCAGTATTATCAGGTGAGCTATATTTTTTACCGAATGCACAAGCTTGTAAAAGGCTGGCGAAAGGGAATTGTATGGCCATAGCTTTATAGATATTTGTCAAAGGTCAGTATTTGCGATGACCCCCCCCCCCCCCCCCCCAAAAAAAAAAAAAGAGGGATGAGAAGCATTTATGAAATTATGTGCTAATTGTAAACATCAATGTCATTAGTTTTTTTTTTTTTTTTCATTTTACCTATCTTTTATCTACATGATGTTTCGATGGGTACATGGCATTGCATTTGCTCGCAGTAAATGAAAATCATCGAGGTAATATCAACACTGGTATTTTAAAGAGAGAACGACAATAATCAGGAATCATTGTGATGGAAGATTGGATTGATTTTGAGCTGTGTATGTACATTTAACCTATGACAAAATATTTTGTGACTGTGCTTATATAGATGCATTATGATGGTCGTGTGTATATAAGTTAATTTGTATAGTTTAATGCGTGTACCTTTCAAAATGCGGTCAAGCAATATCTTCATATCAATAGGTCTTCATTACTCTTTAGGTTTCAGTTCATTGTAGTATATTCTGTTCTTCTATTTTCTTTTCTTAAGGTTTGCATGATGATATTATCCGTTTATAAAAAAACTGCGTAGTTCATTGAGAAGATCATGAAGATGGTGTTTTTAAAATCTCACTGCTTATTTTTTAATCTAGTAGTGAAATTATTTTGCAGGACTCATTAAATCTGAAGCTTAATAGAACAAAAGGCGGAAATCCATGGTTTGTCTTTGGCATCTCATATCCTGGAGCGCTCAGTGCATGGTTTCGTCTCAAATTTCCCCACTTAACATGTGGAAGCCTCGCAAGTTCTGCAGTTGTTCTGTCTGTCTATAACTTTACAGAATTTGATCAGCAGGTGGTAATAGGCCCTTTTTTTTTCCCCCTCCAAATAAGGGTTAATAGGTTTTATATCTTCACGTTCTTATTATTAATAATGGTATTATCATGTAGATGCCGCTTATTATAGAAAATTCCCTCGTTTTTTAACTTACATATCTATATATGTGTGTGTATAAATATATACATATGTATACTATATGCAGGTTGGTGAATCAGCAGGTGCTGAATGTAAAACGGCATTGCAAGAAACTACTAAACTCATTGAACAAAGACTAGCAAAGGATGGAAGGAAGCTGAAATCTTTGTTTGATGCCGCAGATGTATGCTTCGTTCCTTTCTTGCGTTTTAATTGCAGATACATGTTATAGTGATCCTAAAACGCGACTCTGATGCCCCCATCCAAGCATTTCTATTACATTCTCCGGTTGGATGTTAACTTTTGCCCTTTTTGCAGCTAGAAATTGATGGAGACTTCATGTATTTTCTGGCAGATGCTGCTGCTATAGCGGTAATCAATGTGACTGCTGTCTTAATTGCAATTTCTTAATCACAGTCACTTAACCTTTCCTTAAATATTGCAGTTTCAATATGGAAATCCAGATAAAATATGCAAACCTCTTGTTGAAGCAAATAAGGCTGGGGAGGATTTAGTGGTATGATTCTAAATCTATCTATTTCTTGTTTGTCATGAATGAAACTAATCAATGAGCAAGTTTTGGATTTAAACCAATCCATTTCCTGTTACCTTTTGTACAGCATAAACCTCCTTTGGTTGTAATTGCAAGTACTAGTTCTTTATTGGCAGACTTGTTACTTTCAGTATAGCCATGTAAACTCTTCATCATATTTTACAGCAGAAATCTGGTTTGTTCCATCTGTCAAGAGTCAAGATATCTGGAGCAGTTAGATAGAAACAATGAGGCATCCAGAATTAGTTATGAACGTGCTTTACATTATAGTTATTAGATGATTCAGTATGTCAGTTTATCACCAGTGCGTGCTCCTTATGGTTGAAATCTTTGAAAAATCACTACTCACCCACTAACAGTATGGTTGCTTTCAGCTAATCTCTTTCAGCCATGCATGCTCTTGTACTAAACATGATCATTGATGTTTTATCATATATTAAAGCTTTGGACTTGAGTGCCATATATGCTCATAAGCTCTAGCTTTTGAAGTTATTAGAGGTAGAGATTAGAAATAATGGAATAGTATCTTTTTTCTGTTTGTTCGTCGTTGTTAGAGATTGACTCCAGAGTTGGATTTTTGCCCACCTTGATTTTCTTAACCAAGGTTAAGTGTCAACACGAGGGATGATGGATCTGAGCTTTATCCATTTTCAGCCCCGAAGGGCTTTGATAGAAGCCTAAACTCTAGTAAGCTTATAAACGAAAACCAGAAATAGACTACAAATAATGTGGGGCACTTATATTATTACCCAGTAATAAATTCTGATCACAAGGGAAATGATGATTTGAGCCAAGCCTATATCCCTCGTACTCCCAAATTACAGAAATTGCAATCAAAGAATAGTGATACGACAAACAAGAACAAAATACACACATCACATTACAACGCAGAACCGTAGAAGAATATAGAACCAACACTGGCTTTTGAGAGCCCGTCTTCTCTCAATCCTCACTAGACTTTCCTAAAGTCTGAATTCCCCTTCCGTTCAATGAAAGGATGCTCTTATACCCTAAAAGTAGTATGTCCCCTACCAACACTGCCGTACCTCTGGCTGCGCCTATCCTTGTCTATCAGCTTCACCTTTTAACCCTTACAGCTTAAACCCTTGGGATCAGTCTCTTGATCCCATGCTGTTACTCTTCCCTCCACCTTTTCCCTTCCCATAAAATCTTCTATAGAGGAAAAGATTTGTAAATCTGCTGTGAATCTTCAGCTCCATCTTGCTTTTATATGAAGGGTGAGTTAAAGATAATGATATAACTATCATTGTAATTACTAGTATGTTAGACAAAGTTCTAGAAATACCGATTTGGAGTTACATGGTTAGTGCTTGTTCTGTGTAGATGCTTCTTTTGATTTCTATATGTCTGAGTCTGATGCTTCTGATGGGAAACATATACTTTACCATGCAGGACGCTTATGCCAACTATGTAAAAGAGTATTACCTTGGAACTTTTGGGGTTAATGTTCAAACTTATAATCAAAAGCACCTGAAAAATACTGCTATTAGAGAAGACAGTGCCGATCGATTGTGGTGGTTTCAAGTTTGCACTGAAGTTGCATACTTTCAGGTGGCTCCTGCAAATGATAGCATACGCTCCTCTAAAGTTGATGCAAGGCAAGTTCGTCATCCCTCTCACTGTTAATTTCTTGTATTCCTCTGTTGACATGATTCACTTCTCTCTTTTGGTATCATCTTGCTTTTAATATTTATTGTCTTGTGACTTTTCTTTTCCATGGCGATCTTGTCTGATTGTTGTAGTTTCTAAATTAATGCAGATATCATTTGGACCTCTGCAAAAATGTCTTTGGGGAGGGCATCTTTCCTGATGTCTTTTCAACTAATATATATTATGGAGGCACAAAAATTGCTGGTAAAGAAACTATATCTGCCCAACTTTTTATGTACCTCATTCTTTCACATTATGATTGTGCATGCAAAATATTTGCAGAACGTGCTTGTGACTTTTCAACTTTCTCTTAGTGTGCCTGGCTAGTCTAATTTTAACTCTGCGGGATTTCAGTTATTTACCGTATAGTAATGTGCATGGACAGGTTCAAAAATAATATTCACAAACGGCTCACAGGATCCTTGGCGACATGCTTCAAAACAAATTTCATCGACTGATAGTGAGTAGCTATTTGTGTTTATCAAAATTTAGATACTGACATTCCTCAAAGCCAACGTGGATCTCTATTTGATGACCAATTTCTTAAATTCCTGGTCGTCGTTAATCAGAGTTGCACTAAGCAATAATGTGTAGTTTCCTTTCTTTGTTTGTTTTTGACTATGTGCCACATGATCTTAGGAAGGAGGTCAAATTTAAGCTAATATTATGTACTTTTGCTGTGTTCTTGTGTCATTCACTGAATACTGCCTACTGTATTTTTCAGTGCCTTCCTACACTGTATCGTGTCATAATTGTGGCCATGGCGCTGATATGCGAGGCTGTCCTCAATCTCCTTTGAACCTTGAAGGTATGCTTGGTACTTGCTTGCCAATCGTTGTTATCATTTGGAGCACTTGCTTTCTGGAGGAGTTAATTCCGTCTCTTATTAGCCTGGCCACAACAATGATTACTTCTCCCGCGCGCGTGGACAGCTAGATCTCTCACGTAGTTTTGCAGAATCTATCTCGTTGATATAAATGTGGTTATGATGTTAACATTATATTCTGTTGTGTAACGTTTCTTGACAGGTAACGAGAAGAACTGCACTGATCCTGATGCGGTCCGCAAAATAAGGCAAAAGATCACAGAGCATGTGGACTTGTGGCTATCCGAGTGCCTGGCCTCTGATAGAAGGTTCATATAAATATTTGTATATAAATTATCTATTATGAACTCCGACATCATTGCTTCATCTAGTGTTATTTAACTCACATTTGTGTGAACTACTGTAATGTATTATAATACTCTCCTCACTCCAGTGTATATGACTTGGTCTTTTTCTTTTTATAAGGGAAATTAGTCTATCTGAAGTTTTTAGTATTATTATTTATTTTTATACTTATTAATGATTGGTTAGTTTTAATGCGTTAACTATTTGTTTGCTGCTCTTTTTTTTCCCCTTGCATGCATTCCTGATTCTCTTTTCATAAATAAGAATATTTTATGAAAGTAAGCGGTATTTTTTCAGATATTTATTGGCTTCAGTTAATCTCAATCAATTTGTTATCTATGTAATTCGGTTATATATATCTTATAAAATAAAAGTTAAAACATACATTTAGTTTTTTAATTTTATATAAGGTTTCAATTTAATTTCTTAACTTTAAAAAACTTACATTTGGTCTATTAATCCTAAAATCATTAGGTTTCAATGATGATTTTTTTTGTAACAATCATGAATATTTTGAAAATTAAATTTAATATGTTAGCATTTGAGAATGTTTTATCAACATTTGAGATTTTAATTTCATTATTTTTTTAAAAAATTTCAGGATTAAAGGATTAAAATCATATTTTTTAAAGTTAAGAAACGAAATCTTTTGCGAAATTATATGACCAAATGAATCATTTAGCCTAAAATAAAAAGAATCAGTTGAGTCTACGGGAGTTTTTTTAACCCCTTTTCCGCTTTTTCTGGGCCAGTACGCGTGTTGATGGATTACTGAGTATATTTGAATGGGACTTTGAAATCTCAAATGTGCTGGAGAAAATTGAGGCTACATTTGTGAGAAGATAGAGCTTTTGACAAAAAATCATTTAAAATAGAAAAAACAAGAACGGGCGGATTCTTGTATGTTTAATTTATAGACTTCCCATATCAAAACTAATTTTATAATTCTCGGCCTTTTGTGGAGACGTGATTAATTACGAAGCTATCAAAACAAAATTAGAACCAACTGCTATTCCTTTAAGAAATACCTCGTCACAATAAAGAGTCAAGAATTTCCCATGTGGGATAGGTAGGTAATACGTATCGCTGCACGTGACAATGAAGATGAGAGGGACAAAAGTGGGTTCTTATCGTCCCGTCTGGTCTTTTCTGTTACTATTTCTATCGATCTGGATGGTCTCCTACGGCGTCATGGAACCTTCTAATTACGCTGCCGGCCACAAATATCTGCCCACTCAGGACATAAGCAGTTGATGTTTGATTTTGGCGTGCTTAGCAACTGCAAATGTGTTTCCAGAAAGACACTATTGGATTATGATAGTAGAATTTGGAAATGCGTCACATCATCATCACATACCCATCATGCGCTGCGGCCGTCCGAGGACATCAGCAACCCAAGCGTTGGCCCCTCCTCGGTCCCAAGAAGAACACTGACAACTCCAAGTAACAAGAATGAAATCGATGCTTTTGCCACGAACTTCGGGGATGGAGTTTAAAATCTGCTTCTGACAGACTGAATTGCCCAGGATTGATTTACTTCTCTCATTTTTCTCTAAAGTCAATTCTTTGGGTTCATCTTTTGCATGATAATTTTGTAAATGTGCTGATTCAACAGCATCCACACTTGGCTTGTTCCCCACATGTTCTTGAAGTAACGAGTTCCTAGCTCCTTGAGTAATGAATCCACGAGCAAAAATTGCAGTGTCTAAAAAGAGGGGATAACACAGGGAGAAGACTCATCCTATGCCATTCTGTATGGCACCATCTACCACCAACTCTGCCAAAATTCTCATGTTTGAAACGACTTCCCCTTTTATTGAGACAGCCACCTCACCTACCTGCTTCAATATCCATACTTTGATACTGTCGCCTGGTGCAGTTTTATACAGTCCAAAAACTCAGTGATGTAGTTTAAGGATTTCGAGATGGACGAATTGGCTTCAACTCAAGTGAACGATATGAACAGCGGCACTAGAAAGCTCTTAGCCTTACAGCTAGACAAGAACCAGACACTTACCAGGGTCGCAAAAAATTACCAAGTCAGTCTACTTTTTTCTTAATACATTTCTCCCATCCAGTGAGATAGGTCCTCCCAACTTCTTTTCTTTTTTTGGCCAAACGATGGGTCCGCCAGCTTGCATCCCAGTTTTACAGGGCCATGCCTTTGCAATGAAGTCTTCAGGATAATAACGAGATCTAAAGCTAAAGGACCATTGGAAAAGCAGTGGTGAACAGGAGACTCATTTGTCATATCACCGTAAGAAGCATCCATGGGGGCGGCACTCTTGACCGACTGAATTTTCCAGATAGTGCACAAGTATTCTTGATGCCACCAAATTGATTCTGTGACCAGACAAGGTGGAGAAAAATGTATCGTTTATTTTTCAGCCCTGCACAACCTAATATTAGGTTCGAGTCCATCAGAAAAGGACAGCTCTCGATGAGCTTAGGCTTCCCATCCCCAGAAGAGGATGCGTCCTGGAAGTGTAGTGATTCCAAGCAAGAAGGAGGTGGCTGGAGACATCTCGAGGGATGACCCCTTAATCCACATAGTGTCATTGTTACAAATTATTTTCCAGCAATACTGAATCATTGGCTGAAACAGAAAGAGGAATAATGAACGACACTGACAAAAAGACGAATATAAGTACTGGAAATAAGGCATGAATAAGGTAAGTATGGGACATAACGCACAATCAGAGGTAGCCTCTTCTACGTAAGAAATAAACAACAAGCAATCGGGTTTGCTTGTGAAAATGAAAAGTGAAATTAACAGTATGTGCAATCGAACGGATAATCCAACAATAGCGATGGAGATTTAGGCTAGAGAAAATGGAAATTTCCGATGGACTTTTTCAAAGAGAGCAAAATCATTCAAACGATTTTAGTTCCCTTCATCTTGGATTTTGTCTTGAGTAAAGGAAACCGCAACGCTTGCAACGGATGGCAAGATGATTGCGAGGAATGGCTGCACTGAAACCCCGTCTGGTTTGTGGGAGAAGATGAGGCTTTAAATTGTCCTTATTATTATTATTAAGTTGGCCAGCGCTGTCACCCAATCCGTTGTAGTCTCGTCGGTTAGGATATTCGGCTCTCGCCCGAAAGACCCGGAATCGATTCCCGGCGAAGGAAATCTCAAAATGAGAGTAACTATTTTCTTTTTAGTAATTATTAAAAAAGTGTTTGGATAGAAACTAAACTATAATTTTATCTTTTTGGTAATTATTAAAAAAGTGTTTGGATAGAAACTAAACTATAACTTTAAAAGTGTTGTTAGAGTTTACAAAATAAATATGTAGAGTGGTTTGTCTCGTTTTGCAAATGGTTACCAAACATCTTTTAGTGCTGAACTAATTCGTCGGCGATTACGATATGAGTCCTTATCCTTACCAAACAAAAATCTGTTGACTTTAAGCGCCATGCTAGTTGAATAGTCGAATACATTAGTCTACTTCAAACTATGGCTCATCACGACGCTGCTGATAACTTTTGTGAATGACGTTATATCATATGGACTTACGTGTCTAGGTGTTTGTTTTTTGATACGTTAAAGCGCATAGGAGTGTTGAGTTGTTTTTTTTTGGGGGGAGGGCCCGGGGGGGGGGAGAAAACTATCTTTAATATCAATAACGTTTAACTATAAATTATTGCCCAAATTCTTAAATATCATTAATATGACTTTCATTGTTGGAACTTTGGAAACACGGCACCACGCTAATTAAGTTATCGTGAAATAAAGTGCTGTAGATGTTTGATAAAGCATCATAAATATCAAGAAATTTTAGGTTAAATTATCCCAGAGTAGGATTATGTCTAGACATTTTGTCATTTGCTAAATGGGTATGATGACTGATTACTAAAGTGTTGGAAATATCCTGAAATAATGGCTTTTAAATTATACCATTCGACTTTGAAAATTGTCAGTTGGACACGGTGATTGGTTAATAGAATGTTATAAATTATTGTGATTTGGATGATTAACACTTAATTAGTTGTTTTGTATTATTTTAACCAAATGGTTTGATGGCTCAATTACAAATTTGTTGGATCTGATATATGGTGATACCAAACCCTGTCTTCAACTTTTGCCACAAAAATTCTTCTCTCTGGCTGGTATGACTATTTTTCAGTCAGGAAATGTTGTAAAAACATTGATATTTTAAAATTAAAAATATATTTTTAGTTCTTTAATTTCTGTAAAATTTTATTTTGATCCCTTAAAAAAATTAATAATATTGATATCTTAAATATTAATAAAACGTTCATAAACGTTGTTGATATGTTAAGTTTAATTTTTCAAAATAATCATGATTATTATAAAAAATTATTGTTTAAAATTAAAGAGTTAAATGACTAACAACATATTTTCTAAACTTGAGAGATTGAACTGATTAGAACAAACATGCTCTTTTGCCCATTTCAAAATTTTATTTAAATACATTATTTTGCGATCTTTTTTTCCTGTCATTTTCACCGTAATAAAAAAGGGTTAAGGGGGTGTTTGGATAGAAACCAAATCATAGTTTTAGAAGTGCTTTTACAGATTACGGAGTAAATATGTGGAGGAGGTTACCTCGTTTTGCGGAAACGTGCTTCTGAAACCGCGGTTTTGAGAATGCCAAACACCCCCTTAAGTCTACGTGCAAGCAAGATTCGCGAGAGTAAAGTGGAAAATATGAATAAGGACTGCGTTAAGAATGAGCGCGTTGAAAGCAGAATTGCGTTGTTTTTATAAGCATGAGTTTTTTTTTAATTTAAAGTAATCTTATTCAAGATACTGTCAGATACTAAATATGGATATTTCTTCAAATAGAAATTCAAATCTTGATTCACAATATTACCAAGAACTAACCTTTTCTACTACATCTAACCTAATATCTGTTACCAATTATGTTGTTTTTAAAACCACATTTGGACAAGAAATGAAAGCATGTCCCTCGAGTCAAAAACTCTAAAAGTCATTCGTATGAATTAATTAAACGGCATGAGCAGAAGCAGGGCGTACTAATTGGTTTAATTAGCCAAAGAAGCAAACAAATATGTAGGACTGGACACGTACTAAATATGCAGTATAACGGGAAAAAAAAGGAGATCTTTAATACGAGACGCGGTTAACTTACTAAACTACTTATAATCTTTTTAAATTACGTATACTTATCATTAGATCATATATCAATTTATAAGTAAATCAAGTCAGTATGGAGAAAAAGATTAATATAAATATTTTATAATAACTTAGTAGCTTTACTCATCTTTTTAAGTTAATTAACTGAGCTTTATATTAAAAACAAGAGATTTTAATAAATAAGTTGATGTATAACATATTAAAGGAGGAAGGGAGGGAGATGTTGGGAAAGAAAAAAGCAGGAGGAAGAAGAAATGGCCTGAGAGACATGAAAATGCCCGGACTCGAGAGGCCGAAGTAGAGAGAGAGAGAGAGAGAGAGAGAGAGAGAGAGAGTGCTTGGGGGTCAAACGAGAATCATGGGAAGAACAAATCCCGGAATATTTATACCAACGAGGATCACATTCTGGCGCCCCTAGGATCTCATACACGACACACATGCAGACATGTGTTGACAAGTCAAAGCAAAACAAAAGTGTATATTACTGATAACACCACCCTGCTTTCTCAAATTAAAATCCTCTCCCAACACATCACTCTCTCTCTCTCTCATGGATGCCAGCTTTGCTTCCTCCGTTAAATCTCCATCCAAACACATGCTCTCCCTCTCTCTCTCCCCCCTTCTTTTTACATCAGCCAAGCCTCTTCCTGAGTTCCAAATCATTTTTCTTTATTATTTCCTAAGCAGTCTTAATCCTAAATAGGCGAATTTCAGCATTTATTCACCAATAGTTCAATAGGATTATTTAATGTTAAGTTGGAAAACATTAAATATTGACGCGGCCGCCATTGAGAATCAGGCACTTGTTTGAATTTTATTTTATGATAAGGAAGGAGATGAGGGAAAAAGGTCAGCATGAATGAAAAGTTTAATTAAAAGTAATTAGCAGGGGATCGGACCGCCAAAAGGAAAGTTAAGTGAGAAAGTAGGAGAGGGAAGCGTGGTGGTGGAGGGAATGCGGTGGACCCCACCATGCGGTACATCCCCTTTGTGGCGGTAGCCAGCGTGAATGAATCTAGCGTCGCCGCGACACGCAAAAATAGTGGCCGTTTTTTTTTTAAATTTAATTATTTATTCTTTGGGGAAGAGCAGGTAGCGAAGAAAGGAGGGGGGCATGTTTTCGGCATTGAACAAATTTCGGAGGGGGGTGGATCCCACATGGGGTCACCTTTTCTCGGTGCCCACTAACCACGTGGTGCTCGCCCAACGCAGAATCGAACTCCCCGATAGCCGCGTTTGACGTTTCACATTGCTTCCTTCTCGCTTCCGTCTTCTAAAGTCCAAATGCCTCCCCTCTTTCCACTGCCCCTTTTTTCCTTCTCTCTTGTTATTACTCCCAAAGCCATTAAGCAAGCCTATTTCCCAGAATTATTAAATACTTAAAAAAAAAAAGAAAAGAAAGGGAAATCTCAAGGTGGGCATCAACTGATATTTGGCGTTGGAGGAGCCTCCCAGCATTGAAGTTGAGCCAATCCAAAAGTCCCCACTCATGGGTTCTGACACGAAATTACCAACAAAACAAACAGTGCCTTGTCACATCTGATCACAGTCCATTTCCATGTGCCCCCGTTGCTGCCCTGAACCACTAGGGTTTTCTTCCCCCTCGCTTATGCCCCCAATTTCCTGATCGATTCTCCTTCTTCCTCTTCGATCTCCTATGGATAAGCCTCTCCACCTCCTGCCGGCTTCCCCCATGGACAAGCCCTCTCTTCCCGACGCTCAAAGACCGGCCCTTGACCGTTCTGACCCGACTCTCGACTTGATGACCGTCGATCCCTGCCGGTCTGCCGGGGATGCCCAGGATTCCCGGCTTCTCCCGGTTCCGGTCGCACTTGACCGCGATGCTGATGTGGCCGTGACGCAGCACGGTTGCTTGCCCGACATGAAACTCAAGGTTGATGTGAAGGTTGCGGACGGCAGCTCGGCCAAAAGGAAGCGAGGCCGGCCGGCCAGGGGTACTGCTAGGGAACCGCCATTGAAGAAGAATAGGGACGAGGAGGATGTCTGCTTCATCTGTTTCGATGGTGGGAGCCTTGTTCTCTGTGATCGCCGGTGAGTGATCGCGATCCCGATAGTTTACGGATTGGTCTGTCGTAGAGAAATACGGGAAATAATGGAGCCAAACTTTAATTTCGCCAAAGTGCTTAATAACTCCAGATGGTCACTTGCAAAACTAATTTCGTGCTTCTCAGTATACAACCCTTGGCTCTTGGGTCGTAATTAAGGACGATTGTGCTTCATTCAATTGTAATCACTCATGTCGTTTTATCTATTCATTTATATTCATCCTCTCCCTTTTTTTTTTTTTATTTCCTCTTTTTTAGGGGTTGTCCTAAAGCATACCACCCCGCCTGTATCAAGCGAGACGAGGCATTCTTCCGTTCCAAGGCCAAATGGAATTGCGGTATGTTGCTTCATAAACTACACTCTTCTTTTATGTTGCTGGACTGCTGGAAACTTCTCATTGAAGCCCAATACCAATCCAATAAATCTAATTTCCCTAACCCTTTCCACTTGCTATCGGAATTGTATCCTAAAAGTTCCGATGCGTGGGTCGCTTATTCCTGTTTCTGCTTCCAATATTTCGGGTCGTAGATGATAGATAATTGAATTAAAAATCTTCAATGATGTTTCTTTTTTATTCTTTGATCTCATTTGATACAATCTAATCACTGGATACGCATGCATGCGCTTAAGAGAGGTTGGCAGTTTTAATTCAATATGAGTTCAGATCTTTTATAGCATTCCTTATTCACCTCTTTAATTTATTTGCCATTCAGGTTGGCATATATGTAGCATATGTCGGAAGGCATCCCATTATATGTGCTATACATGTACATATTCTTTGTGCAAGGGTTGTATAAAAGGCACCGATTTTCTCTGTGTCAGAGGGAATAAAGGTCTGTGCGGGATATGCATGAGGACCATAATGCTCATTGAGAACAGTGCACAGGGAAAAAAGGAAACGGTAACGCTAAACTTCCACTCTTGTGCTGATCTCATTTACTATTGATTTTGTTTTTGGCTGGCGGGTTTTTCTCGTTGTAATGATGATGGTCTTGTTTTCATTCTTTTTCCTTCTTTGTGCCACTTGTACAGTGTGAAGTGGATTTTGATGACAAAAGCAGTTGGGAGTATCTTTTCAAGGTGTATTGGCTGTACTTGAAAGAGAAACTATCCTTAACGTTAGATGAGATCCTTCGAGCTAAAAATCCATCGAAAGGAGCTGCTGCTAATGGTTCTAAGTTAGAAATGCCTCATGAAATTCATATGCATAAAGATGACAAGGGTTCTGGGTCAGAGAACTCCTGTATAGACATAGAATCAAATAATTTAGAGAATAACCATTGTAATAGACAGCCAAGGCTTGTTAATAAGGAGGACTGCCCAAATATGAACACTTCAGCTCGTGACAAAGAGGCATCTATGGCTGAAAGCACAAAATGGGCATCGAGGGAGCTTTTAGAGTTTGTTGCACATATGAAAAATGGCGATACATCTGTCCAATCTCAACATGATGTTGAGGCTCTTTTGCTGGAGTATATAAGGAAAAACAATCTTTGTGATCCTCAACAGAAAAGCCAAGTTGTTTGTGATTCAAGACTAGTCAATTTGTTCAGAAGAGAGCGTGTAGGTCATTTTGAAATGTTAAAGCTTCTTGAATCTCATTTTCTTATAAAAGATGATGCCTCTGCCAACATTATAAGGTCAGGACCGATTGATGATGTTGCTAGTCAGATGGAGGTTAATGACAATGGTAATGATCAGCCAATTGTGGCCAATGATAAGAGACAGAAAACACGGAAAAGGGCTGAAGTGCTGCTTGATAATCCGGACGCGTATGCTGCAATAAATGCTCACAATGTAAACTTGATTTATGTGCGGCGGAATCAGATGGAGAATCTAATTGACGATTCTGAGAACTTTAGAGACATGGTTGTTGGTTCAATTGTGCGGATAAGAGTCTCTAGCAGTGATCAAAAGCAAGAGATGTATAGGCTTGTACATGTCATAGGTAAATAACTTAAACAGACACTGATTCTAACGGCAATTTTCACTTGTAAATTTGTAATGAGTAAATGATTTGAAATTTTACTAGTCACATACCCTCTGTGCAGGTACCACCAGTATTGCTGAATCTTACAATATTGGCTCAAGAACAACAGGCATTGTGCTTGAAATTTCTAATTTAAACAAGAAAGAGGTCATAAAAATAAGTGAGATTTCAGATCAGGATTTCTCTGAGGTGAATGAGATATTTTCTTTTATGTTCAGTGGAATCTCTAAATTTTGCAATTTTTTTAATTGGGTCTTTCTAATGGTTAATTTATTGATTATTTGTGTCCAGGATGAATGCAAACGGTTACGACAGAGCATAAAATATGGGTTTTCAAAAAGATTGACTCTGGTTAGTGTGTATATTATATCAACTCTCCATATTACGGGCTGTCTTTTATTCGTGTTTAAGACAACGGTTTTGATCGTTTGTAGGGAGAGCTTCTGGACAAGGCATTGACACTTCAGGCAATGAGAGTTAATGATGTAAGCTTTTCCTCCTTATCATTACTGCTCTTAAAGTAACGTGGTTCTTCATCATCAACGCTCATTTTTACTTTTTTAAGTTTTAAAGGAAACCCTGAATTCCACTGAAAATCTGCACAAGTTAATTTTTTTGTTGCCCAGATCTGAATAGTTTTGAGTACCCTGTGCATTTACCCATGCCACTACAACTTTAGAATTGGTTTTCGCATGTGAATCCTGTGAAAGCATTCAGTTGATTGGAAATTTTCTTAGGCTCTGTTTGGATAGCACCCCAAACCATGGTTTGGGGAAAATGCTACCCAAACAGCCTCTCCAAAAACCAAAACCATGGTTTTGGGTCAAAACCATGGTTTTAACTCCAAAACCATGGTTTTGGAAAAAGCAAAATTTTTTTGCTTTTGGAGAAAAAAGGGAGAGTGTGAGGGCTTATATGATATGTATCTTGTTATTTTTTTTTATAAACATATTTTTTTATAAATATATTTAATCTTATATTTTATAAATATATATAGACATTAATTATTTATTAATTATATTATCTTATGTATTATTAATTATGTTGGTAAAAAACATATTATTAACAATTTTATTTCTTCAAATTAAAATATATCATAAAATCTATTTTTTCTGTAATTATCATATTAACTTATATTTTTTTTTAGTAATTTGTATATATAAAAAGTGCTTCTGATAACAACTATCCAAACACTCTCACTTCTCAGAATCACTTTTTTACAAAATCTATTCTTCACAGAATCTATTTTTTCCAGAATCTATTCTCCAGAATCACTTTTTCAAACCACGGTTTGGTTTCATCCAAACACACCCTTATTCTAAAAGCAGAATTTGCATCCTTTTCTTCTTATCTGCTAATTATATGTATTCAAGCACGGTCATGTTGTAATTTTGTCCTGACAATTTGGTTGGAGTATGAAGCAATACCGTTAGAACATGGCATTATTTTTAACAATTCTGTTCTCTCTGTTCTAGTTGCTGGAAGGCGAGATACTGCAGCTTAACGATCTTCGTGATAGAGCAAGTGAAAAGGGACATAGAAAAGAATATCCTTTACTGTCTATAACTTTGCTCCTTCCTTCCCCCCCCCCCCCCAAAAAAAAAGCCTAGACAGTGGGTAATAGGAACGCTTGCTTTGTTTGTCGTTTTATTCATCATGCATAGGCGAATATGTTTATGAATGCTTGATAATTTAGGCGGATTAGCAATTCTTAGATGATTGGAGGTTACCATTGTAGGACTTCTGAACAAGCATGTCCAGCTAGCTATTCAGAAGTATGATAGGTTGAGCTATTTATTATTTTTTCTTATCTGGCCTCATTTTTAATCTGCATATTGCATTTGACCCTTCTTTGTGTTGTTGAATTTATTTTTTCGCAATACTTCAGTTAGATGCAAGTGTAACTTTAATTCTGAACTAACATGTTTAGGATTATAGTTGTTCCTTGGTTTGGCCAGGTATTAATGTGTTGCCATATTGGCCCCCTGCCCAACTTAAATTGATCCTTGATGGGAAAATATTCAATATGATTAAGTGGAACTAGCTAATAAATGGTACCTTCCTCCTATATGTATGCTAGGGTTAATTGTTAGAAGAAATCCCCTTTCAATTACGGACTTATTTAACTGACCTATCAACTGGAACCAAGGCAACTTGCTCATTTTTTAGATATTAGTTACCCATTCTCTTCTCCACCTTTTTCTGCCTTGTTGATGTGCCAAATACATGGATAAGTTAGTCTAGTATTCCTTGACCAAACTGCACGCTGAGAGAGTGTGTGGAGAAGTTGCAATTACTGAACTCATCTGAGGAACGCCAGCGAAGGCTGCAAGAAATTCCGAAAGTATACTCTGATCCAAATATGGACTCAATGTTTGACTCTGATGACGATGCTGAAAAGTCAGATGAAAGGAAGCAAGGTAAAATTCATTTTCTATGTGGACCCTGCTTTCATTTTTCTTTTAGCAGTTATCCAGACAATATTCAAGTCATGGTAAATGTGGTTATGTCGATGTAGATGACAATATACAGTCTAAAAATTCTGGATTTAATAGAAGAGAGAGGGAGCCTAGTTCTCCAAGAAGTGAGGGTGGTGGGTGCAGAGCACTAGACTTTTTGGTCACTGCTCATGAGCAGATTGGGAATACATGTACAGTGAAGAACCAGACCAGCCCAAGTGACACAGGAAATGGCGATAGCAATAATTTAGTAGTGGCAACGTCAGGGTCATCTGCTGTTGCTTCGGACCCTCCATCCTTGCCTTTCTCTACAGGAAATGAGCAGCCATTTAATGATCTTGCAACTGATAAGGTATGGCACTACCGGGATCCATCTGGGAAGATTCAGGGACCATTTTCTTTGCTGTCGTTGTATAAGTGGAATGAAAGTGGGCATTTCCCGTCTGATCTCAGAATATGGAAAAACACTGAAGAACAAGATGACTCTATATTGTTAACTGATGTATTAAGCGGGAAGTGTTATAAAAATGCTTCATTGCCATGCAGTAGTCAGCTACTATCCTTAGGGATCAAGGCTGTGCAGGGTAACGAAGATGATATTGATTTGCCAAGTTGCACTCCTGTAACCAGCTCCTCAACTTGTGTGGACTCTACATCTACCGTTGTTCCTGCAACAAAAGCATCACCAAAAAACTCACAAATTGGTTTTCTGGAGTTGCCTGGCGATAATTCTAAGCCAACTCATTCTGAACATACGGATCAGTCTGCTGAAAATAAACGTTCCTGGAGTACTGCTTCCAGCTTAGCTGGTGGTGGGACACCACTTCCTGAAGTGACTGTTGAGTGGAGAAGATGTTCGCCAGCTCCGCCTAATCCTTCTATTGAGGAATGGGACTCCAATCTTGTCTCCGCATCTTCATTGAAGCCAGCTGAAACTGCTGGCGATTGTACTGCTACTCCATCGTCAATATGTGGTCAACTAACACATTCTTCCCCTTCCAATCCAGCCTGTAACACATCTGCGTGGCAGGCGATGATGGATGAACCGAATGATTTTGGCTCATTTGGTGAAACAGTGTCAGATCTGTTGGCAGAAATGGAGGCAATGGGATCTCTCGGTGGCTTGGAATCTCCCACATCGATCATGAAATGTGGTGAGGAATTGACTGAGGGTTCTAATGGCCTCAGCCCTGCAGAGGGGCTCAGCCCAATGCCTGATGCAGGTAAAGGGGATGCACTGAGCTCCACAGGAGATTTACAATTTAACTCTCAATCCACAGCGCCAGAGGTACCATTATGCCAACCAGAGGGACATTACCATCAAAGAATCTCTGGAGGGCATTCTAGCAGAAGTTCTGAAGTAGGCGGCACGAAGAATCATGTTTCAGGTAGTCAATGGAGGTCAGGTTCAGGAATTCCATCCACAGCAGCCTGGGCCATGCCTACAGATGCTACTTGGAGAATCGGGCAAGACAGCAGAAGTGGTTGGGAGGCATCTCATTTAAATACAAACTTGGGCTGGGGTGTGATGGATAATAGAGGAAATGCAAACACAGGTTGGGGAGTAGGACAGGGTCCAGTGCAGGAAAACAGGAACCTAAATTCATACACATCCGTAGGAACCGCAGGCGCTTGGGGGAACCAATCTAGACATGGCAACGATCGATTTTCTCCTCGTGGTAGGGATATGAGTAGGGGTAGACATGTCTGGAACAGACAACCATTCGGTGGTGGAAATGGAGGCTCCCAAAGGCCTCCGCCCAGAGGGCAGCGAATTTGTAAATTTTACGAAAGTGGGTACTGTAAGAAGGGAGCATCATGTGATTACTTGCACCCATGATTTTTGAATCCAAAAGGCATTAGTAACGTTTAAATTTTTGTAAGCATTAACATAATGGGAAGTTTCTCTTCCAATTGTTGTAATTTAACCTTTGACAGTAACAGTCAAGTGGCATAATTTTTTCTAGAAAACGGCTGTAGCATCTTATACTTTCCTTTGATCGTTCTGTTAAATGTCAATTATGAATGGATGGTTAATTCGACGTACGCCTCGGTGTATTGTACTCGGAAGCAAGGAACTGAAATATAATTTGCAAATTTAATATTGTCGAGACTTAATAAAGATTCGAAAATCACATTTTATTTGAGGTTTAGTAATTTTCAGTTTTATTTTTCATTCTTATCCTAAAGTTATTCTCGCAAAATTTGTCAAGAACGATGATCAGTAATTTAACGAAGGTGAGAGCCAAGAATGGAAAATTGAGAACATTTCCTTAGTTGATTACTCCCTGGTCTTTTGTTCCAAGAATAATATAGTTAAAAACAATAAAAGCATAAGATATATGCATATTTTTTTTAATTATATTTTTATTTACAAAGAGAGTACATGAAAGCAATAAATGAAAATTTATTGAGAGATAATAAATACTACATTCGATCTTTAATATAAGAGTTTGTTTGATTTCTATTTTGGTCCTAAATATAAAATTTTAATTTACTTTGTCTTTCATATTTATCCATTTATTTTAAAGCAGTCTTTATAATAATGATAATTCTAGTCAATACACTTGATTAACAAGGATATTTTAAAAAAGATAACACTTATTTATTACAAATAACTAATTTAACTAATTTTTTAATTTATTTAAATTAATCAACTAGTTCTTATATTAAAAACTAGATATGATAACATATATTTAGAAGGATGAAAATGAAATGATTAGTTTAAAATTTCAAACAAAGAGAACTTATATTTTATGTACAGGGGAGAGAATGTTTCGGGGACATACTTGGGCATGGCATATTCGCATGTCTGTTGGAAGTCAGGAGGAAAGAGAAAATAGAGGAAATCGTTCATGTAGCTCGAGTTCGAATTGGAGTTGGATTCTCTCCGCTACCTTCCCATCCTCTTCCCCTCCACTACCCTTCTTTTCTCTTCACAACCATTGGATCAAAATTCCAATGGTCCAGATTTAACATTTTATAAAAATAATGTTATTAAAAAAATAAATAAATAAATTTAAACTGTTAAAATCTAGTCTGAACAGTTTAATTGTAATAAAAAAAATTAAAAAATTTGCTTTATAATAACAGTCTGTAGTTATGAATTGTTCAAATTATATTTTAACAGTTTAAATTTATTTATCTATTTTTTATCATAATATTTATTTTTATAGAATGTTATAACATATTAAATCTGGACCATTGGAGTTTTGATCCAATGGTTGTGAAGAGAAAAGGAGCATAGTGGAGGGAAGAGGATGGGAAGATTAGTGGAGAGAATCCAATTGGGTTCGAATCTTGTTCTCTAATACAACTCGCAAATAATATTTTATAAAAAATTTTAAAAAATAACGAAAAAAGTATTATTCCTTTTTCTTTTCTTTTCTTTTTTTGATGATGTTTTATGAGAGGCTGTAGAAATATGGTAGGAAAGTTGTATTAAAGAATCAAATGTAGTCGGATTCCTTAAAAAAATGCAGCACAAAAGCACAAGGGCAGAATCAGCCGAATGCAATGTATTCAAAAATTCTTTGCGTGGATGGCTGAGGAAAAACTATAGATTGCTTCAATTTATGAATAATGTTTTCGTGAACCCAAAAGACAAAGCGAAGCTCCGCTAATCTCTCTCTCAAATCTCACTCTCAAAAACTGTTAGTTTAGTAGTTGCCACTTACCTCAACAATTGAAAAAATATTCTTGTTTATTTTTCATATTCTAGCCTTCAACACGTGTTTCAGATATTCTGATTTTTTTTAAAGTACTTTTCTAGTCCTTAATATAAGACCATTTAACTAATGTGATTAGATTAAAAAAGTTAGGTAAATTAGTTAATTATAAGAAATGTGACGTTTTTTTCTAAAATATCATAATCATCTTTTTAATACTCCTTTTTCTTCCTCTACTTGATTATGGTTGATGGAGTATCCATAAGGGTAATTTAGAAAAAATTGATATATATAGCAAATGAGTCTTATATTCAGGACTAAAACCAATTTAAGAATTGGGTGTTATATTAAAAACTGGAGGAGTAGCATCATAATTTCTCAATTTAAAAAACTACGAAACACAAATCAATTTTAGATTAACTGTATTTGGACGATTGAGAAAAAAGGGGAGAATCCTTATTAAGTAACACAAATTGGGTAATCCAGAATTATCAATTCCAGTAAACCGTACATTTCCAGGTTAAAGGAACGCGAACGCTGAATGAAAGCCAATCTCAAACGCTATTTTAATCCCCCACGGATGCTAATCATATTCTTGATGTTGTTCAGAGATGGTCTCTGTCTCTCTGACTCTGGAAGAAGCAGCAACTGTGAAATTTTTCTCTTTACCCCCAAATAACAAATTCATTTGATCGTAGCTTTTCCTAAAATTATTTGCATTGCCTTTGGCTTGAGGCGCCGACCCTATCCATCACCCTTGATCTCATCCTTTCGTCTCCCATTGCTATAATGGTACAGTTCCCACACATGAAAGAAACAAATCTTGTAATAATTTTCATTTCAGTTGCTCCTTATGTGCCCAAGAAAATGGAAGACGGAGTAAGCAATAAGATTTTTCGAACAATGATTCGAGCTTGAATGGTTTTCGCCTTTGAAAATCTCTTGACGAACGATACGGGAATATTTTGTCTTTTTTTCATCTTGTTTAAAGAATCGTGGAATGGTTTTTCTCAACTTGGTGATCCTGTGCTTCGTTTGAATAGTTGTCAGTGAAGGCAGCAGCAGCCAACTAAAATTTGTTGGGATTTTACGAGAATTGAAGATAATTGGTGTTTTTTTGGCGGAATCTGATGGCCGCGATTGCGGCTTCTAGGTGGATGGGGCAATTGGGAGCCCATTCAGTGGCCTTAAATGGATTAGGAAAACTTGTGAATTCGAAAGCACCATTTTCATTTGAAGGAGCAGCTTCATCGGCTTTTGCTGCGTTTTCCAGGCGAAATTCTCAGCTGGTAAAATCTAGCGGAAAGCGGTTATTTCTTATTGACACGTTAGCCATTGTAAGTTGTAAATTGTAATATAAAATCCTCTTATATTTTTAATTTTTATTTCCTCAGATCAAATTCTTAAGAATGATGTTGTTGTTTTTGTTACGTGCATGCTGTGTTCTGTTTAGGTTAGAAAATTAGAAGGCCAAGGTGTACCCTCAAAGCAAGCTGAAGCGATAACTGCTGCTATAACTGAAGTCTTGAATGACAGTCTTGAAAATGCATCACAATCATTTGTATCTAAAGAAGAAATGCAGAAAGTAAGATAACCTGATGTAATTTACGACCTTCCCCTTGTGCGGATCCATAGTCAATGGATGCTTGGCTCAACTTATGTATTGATATCTATTTCTTTTCTTTGTTCCTCGGTATGATTCAAGAATGAACTGACTCAAGAAGCCAAGCTATCCAAATTCAAATCTGAAGTGCAGAGCTCTCAGGTATCCATAAACCATGGTGCTTGCATATGAAGTAATCCTTTTTTTTTTTTTTTAAGTTTGTAGTGATCTGAGAACAGTTACTGTAATCTTCCTGAGGGTTTTCTCATCCGGTCACTGGAGTGATATATCCTATTCCTTCATGATATTTCTTCGAATAGGAAGCTCCATCTTAGCACCTAAATTATGTTGTGACACGAAATTGCTGTTTATTATTCTAACTGTTTCTTGAGGAGTAATTATGATGCAGGGCAACCATTTTTCTCTGCTGCAACATGAGACTGAAAAACTTCGAAATGATATAGAGAAGATGCGCAGTGAATTAAGGTTTGTTTGATAATTTTTTTAAGTCTTTGGCATTAACTAACTTCTATGTCCCTGGGTATGGCATACCAACTTTATGCTTCAATTTATGGGTTGTGATGCAGATATGAGATAGATAAAGTCACTGCTGGGCAGAGGTTGGATTTGAACCTTGAGAAGGGGTGAGAACTGAGAACTAAGGACCAGAATATGTAGATAGTCTTTACTCTCTAGTGAAGCATTATAGAATTTGTCAGGTTGCAATACCATTTCTTTACCATTGTTATGCCTGATGTGTTACTTCTTCTTCGTAAATGCAGGAGAATTAGGGAGGAACTGTCCAATCAGAGTGCAGAAACTTCGAACCTGACCAACAAACTTGACAGAGTAAGCAAACATGTGGCTGTGAGAAATACATTTCATAGTCATCTGCGTAACACGCGATAGTTATTTTATGTTTCTTGAATATAATAATGTTCAGGAGATTCATGCCTTGAGAGCACAACTGGAAGCAGCGAAATATGATGTGATAAAATACTGCATAGGGACTCTTGTTTCAATATCTGCGGTTGGCCTCGCTGTTGTCCGCATCTTGATGTGAACAAGATTGTGATCCAATTAAATTGATAAACTTGTCGGCAAAGGTTACAAAAAACATAAAATATTGGTTGAGGGCCTTGAAAGAGTGGAATTTTAATTATGAAGACGATGGACTCATGTTGTGTCAGACGAAGAGTTGAATACAATTATGGTTGTGGCTGGGCTAAAGGAAGCGGCGGCTCCCAAATGGACCTTTTTTGAGCCCCGTTCTTTCGTTTCCATATTCTTTTGCTCATTTATTTGGAATAATTGCTTCATTTGTACATTCTCTAGATGAGGCGACCTGTATTATATTCTCACCAACTTGTATTTTTCATATTCTAGATCAACAGGATGTTAATCCAATGTTAAGCTCCGCCTTGAAGTGCTCTGTACATGTACTTTTGAATCCTATTGGAAGAAATACAAGTTTGTCTTATTTATAAATCACTTTAACATGTTTCACACAAACTAAGGAAACCCTTAAACTTTATTAACTCTTATTTAAAATTTAATAACTTTGTAATTTTATCCTTATTTAATATATATTACACCTCATCTAAACAAAGTCAACACAATAATAAATGAAAGGTAAAATTGCATATCTATATAAAAAAATTTTCTCAATACTTTATAAATAGGACCAAAAGATATTTTTTCTTTTTATCTTATAAACAAAACCAGAAGAGTATCCGGTATTGTAATAAGGAGCATGCTGAGTATGTCCGCAATATACATCAGGAGCGGTGTCTTTGGTAGGGGGGTGATCAAGGGTTTTCAGGTGGGACACTGATTTTCATGATACATGGCTTGTCTCATTCTATGCATATGTGTGATGAGCTGGGAATTTTCAACGAAGCTCATTAGCTCACCAACTTATGACATCCATCCGATTTTCTGGTTCACGGAACATGGTTTCAGCCATACAAATGCCTCCATCTCTGTTTTTTGGGGGAATTGCTATTATCATTTGTGTTCTTCTTCTAAGCCCCCGCTCCTTTCTACCAAACATGTGATATTTTAATCTAATTCAGCTGCTGACTAATTTTATTAATTACTCCACTCAAGCAAATTTCAGATTCAAAGTTACGAGTTACTCTTCCGGTCTTTAATATAGGATCCAATTGTTGAGTTAGTTTTGGTCTTAAATATAAGACCAATTTCTCATATTTATCAATTTTCTCTAAATTACCCCTATGGATGCTCCTTCAATTATAATCAAGTAGAAGAAGAGAAAAAGGGTATTAAAAAAGATGATTATGGTGTTTTAGGAAAAACATGTCACATTTCTATAATTATCTAACTTACCCAACTTTTTTAATCTAATCAAATTAGTTAAATAGGTCTTATATTAAGGACCGGAAGAGTATAATATAGTTTAAATTTCCTGTCTTTATCTCACATATAAAATTTTGTTCTTTAAATTCAAGAAATGACATTTTCTCCTAGTTTGCCCTGTTGAAAGAATGGTCGTTGACTAACCTCATTTGCACCGTGCAAACGAACCCAAATGCGGGGGAGATTATGATTATTACAGTAGGAATTCATACAAAGCTTATCCACATAAGAGGGAGAATCAAATCCTTCCATACGACCCTCCCCCTCTTGCCACCTATACAATTATTGCCGTTTTCCGTCCTTTTTCTTCTTTTTCATGACAGTTCCCTTCCCTTCATATTTATGTGTAATTGAAATATAATTTCTTTCTTTTAAAAAAAAAAAAAGGATAAAACACAGAAAGCAGACCTGTTCCCCGGGCTCACGCACAATGCGAGCTGCCCCTAAAAGAGAGGGCGCACCAAGCGCTTTGTGGGGACGGCGAGGAGCCGACTCGCCCTGGGAGCGGTGAGTCCGAAGATGTCGCTCATGTCCATCTCACTCGGCTTCATGCCGTCCGGCAACTGCCACGAGAAACAATGGAGCAGGTGAGCCACGGACATTTCCAAGGCATAGAGCCCCAGTTGCATCCCCGGGCAGGACCTCCGACCCGACCCGAAAGGGATGAACTCGAAGTTGCTCCCTTTGAAATCGGGGACGCCTTCCTCGAGGAAGCGCGACGGCTTGAAGCTGTCGGGGTCCTGCCAGGCCTTGCGGTCCCTCCCAATGGCCCAGGCGTTGATCATCACACGTGACTTCTTCGGAACGAAATAGCCCGAAACCACGGCGTCTTCCGCCGTCTCGTGGAGGAGCAAGGGGATCGGCGGGTGGAGGCGCAGCGTCTCTTTCAGAGCGCATTTCAGATACGTCAGCTTCTCCAGGTCAGACTCTTCCACTCTCCGATCAAGGCCCACCACCTCTGCCAATTCTTGTTGGACCCGCTTCATATCTTGCGGGCTTCTCATTAGTTCCGCTAGGGCCCACTCTATTGCCGACGCCACCGTCTCCGTCCCTCCGAACATCACGTCCTGATTTAATTCATAAACCCAAATCCAGTCACATACTACCCCAGCGTAATTGAATCCGAAAAACTAACAACTCTTTTCTGGTGAAAATAATCATCACTTTAATGCAAGGTGAGAAAAAAAAAGTTATAATTTTATTTCATGCGTTACTACTTGCTACTAACTCAGGCCCACCCCAAAGACAGTGACCCGCTAAATCCATTTTGAGACCCGCTCATCCTTATCTTCTTTCCCTTTCCCACTACTTCAAGGCTGGCTACCACACAAATTTTTGCCCTTATTTCACGTTAGTGCGCAAGATATTCCATTCACTGACATGTTGTTTGTTTCATACGTAGAATCCCATCCAAAAAGGCCAGCACCCGCAGATACGGAACTATCATAATATATTACTAAATCTATCTAAGTCTAAAAAAGATGCTTAGATATCCAATAATCACTTTTCAGAAATACTTTTTTCGTAAATTAAGACAAATTTTTTCATATATTTACCTCGAATACCGTAAAAACACTTTTAAAATTATAGTTTTGATTTACCCAAACACCCTTAGATCTAAATTACCGACAACTTTAACTGAAATGATATAAGACGTATAAATACGATTTTCCCCCTCTTTTGAGATATCTTGCCTAGATGAAAATTTCAATCAAGTGAGCGTCATTTTCCACGTCATACCATAATGATGGCTTTGATGTTATCCTTGGTGAGTTTGATGGAGTTCTGTAGATCGTCCGATTCACTGACTTTAGACTCGCCCTCGCTGTAAAAGGCCAGCAACTCGTCCACCATATCTCCTTCTTCATCTGGCTTCTTCTTGTTCGCTATGTGTTCCTCGATGATGTTGTCGATGAAGCTGTCCAGTGAGCCACGAGCCTTGGTCAGTCTGGCGTTGAGCCCCTGGGGGTCAACCCACCCGAGACCCGGTATAAAGTCCGCTATATTGAAAGCTCCAAACAACTTGGAGAACTCCTGGAGTATTCCAATGAACTCGTCCTGTCCCTCCCGAGAGCTCGACCCGAAAGCCGCCCGATACGTTATATTTTTCGTCAGCGAAAACACCAGCTCGCCGATATTCACTTCCTTCCCCGTATTCGCCCCCACCGTTCGGACCACCGTCTCCACTTCATCTCGTACCGACTGCCACGACTCCGCGCGCTTCCGGCTGAAGAGCTTCATGACGCAGATCTTGCGCATCTGCCTCCAGAAGGGACCGTAGTGAGCGAAAGCCATGTCTGCTCGGTCGTAGGTGAGGTAGCTAATGGCTATGGTGGCGGGGCGGTTGGAGAAGATGTTGTCGTGCACCTGAAGCACCTGGCGAGCGGCGTCAGCGTCGGAGATGGCTACCATGTGGAGGAAGCCCATGCGGAGGTGGAGTACGCCGCCGTACAGGTTGGCCAGCTTGGCCAGGCCTCTGTGGGTTAGCTGGTCCATGATCGTCATGTTGCCTATGAGGGGAAGGCCTTTGGGACCCGGAGGGAAGGGTGGCCTTTTGCGGATTCGAGAGAGCAGTCCCAGGAGAAACATGAGTGGGATTGCGAACAGCATGGCCATGCCAAGAGGTTGAAGATGAAGAGCAAGGGAATCCATGGCAAGCGTATTGGTG